ATAACTACAATGTGAACAAATACGGATTCTCTGCTGTTTTTTTTTAATTTTTTCTCTTCTATCTTTCCATCGCTATTGGATATATTTAGTTACTTGTAGATATGTTTTTGTTAGTGTTATGAAGATAGTGTTCTGCGCTTGTTTGGCATACTTTCTCATTTTATTGGCAGTTTTTTATGCTTAAGCTGCGCATAACAGAATTTATGCATCGATTAAGCTGTATTGTTGGCATTTGTGTTCTGCTAATACAAATCTACTCAGTGGCGCTATAGGTTAATGGCGCAATTTATTTAGTGATTTACACTTGATGTGGGCGCATCAAAATAAAAGGATTAATTTAGATTAAAGTTTTCTCCAATCGTTAGATTAAATTGGGTTGGTGTGAGGTGTTCAAATTTTCTCTTAACAAAAGTAGTTATGTCTTAGCACAACACGCGTATTATATATCGTAAAATCTCCACCGCTTTTAAAAATTCTCTTAAGCTAAAATTAATTCAGTTTTTAAAAAATTCTTTAAAATTTTGTAAAGAAAAATAAAGCAAGCCATGGAGATTGCATTCTGGGCTTTGATAACATTCTAATAGAAAATTTCGTCCGGTGCAAAGATAACGACGTCACTAAGGACGACACACTATGGACGACACACTAAGGACTTCGTGAGTGACAAGGACTTCGATGTTCAGATTTATGTACTGCTAGCCAAAATAGTAAAACATCTTTTATTAGCCAAATGAAATACAGATGGCAAGATAGTTCGAAAGACGTTTGTTATTCTAGCACAAAAGCCTTAGAAAAAGGCCTTCGCATTCGTTACTCGTGGTGAAAAGCTTTTTTTCCAAAATTCACTTGTATATCATTTTGCTTGCGCCGCTCCAATGAAAGCAATAGGTGAGTGTGCAAAGCACTGTTGTGATATTCCTGAGATTCGGGTACGAGTCCCCAGCGAGCGAGTTTTTTGTTATTTTTTTTATTTTTTTTATTAAATTTTCTTTTAGTTATTAGATTTCATAGATTTCATTGTCCTAAAATGAAAAATACCTGTATTTTTTAATTCGTTTGATCTTTAGAAACTGTTGTTTATTTTATTTTTAGATTTCATTGCTTTAAAAAAAGAAAATATTTGGTTTTTAAATTTATTAAGTTTATAGGAACATTTTAGTTTCCTTTTCTAATATAATTTGGTTTAAAAATTTTGTTGATTTAAAAAAAAAAAATATTTTCAATGAACTTTTAGTAAGCCTTTTATTTTTTTCTTTTATCTCAATTCTTTTTTTAGTTGAAATCGCTTTCTGTTTTTATATTTTATTGTATAAACAAAGAAAAAAATGTTTAATCTCATTGAATTATTACATACTTTATTCATTTTTCTTTAATTTAATTTCTTTTTTAATTTAATTTTCTTTTCATTTTTAGCTTTTATATTAAAAAAAAAGTTTTAATTTCGATTATGTAATTTTTAGGAGAAACTTATTTTATTTTTTATTTTTTCCTTTTTTAAATTTCATTTTCATTTAATTTTCTGATTTTATTGTTTTAAATTTTTTTTTTAAATTTGTCTTTTATTTTTTTTTGTTTTTATTGTTTTAAAAAGAAAGAGCTTTTTTTAATTTCTTTTAGTTTTTAATGTTATTAATCTGTTTTTGCTTTTTAATTTTGTTTTTATTTTTTTTCTTTATGATAAAATTGTTTAAACCTATAGTTTCTTTTGTCTAAAAAATAGATACATATGTACATACATATTTTAGTTTTATTTAATTTTTACAAAACTTATCTTTCAATTAGTCTCTTGAAAGAGCTTCCAAGATAAATAGTTCCCAGAATAGATAATTTTCTTACGAAATCTTTTTATCTTTCAAAGACTGTGGTGAGTTAAAAGACAATTGCCTGAATTGCTCTGTTAATTTGGAGAGCCGAATGTATGAAACGATTTCAAAAGCCGTTTCCGCATACGCCCCGCAGGCCAAGAAAGTCTATATTTCTATATTATATATTGGATGATTCCGAATTTATTAATAATAAATATAGTTGTTTTAACTAAAAAAAGAGGAACTCAAAATTGCTTGCCCCAGAATTGAGTTGTACTGAAGAGAAAGATGGAAATTTAGTTCCTCAGCGAAGAATTTTAGCGACCTCTGTCTTAAAATACACTACTCAAAAAATTGAGGGCGGGTTTAAAAAAAAGGGAAATTAAAGCTAGATATTTATATAGATTATCTGATCTATATGGCGGCCTAAATGTACAAAATTTTTTTACGCCCATGGATTAAAAACAAAAAAAAAGTTGGAAAGTCACCTCCAACCTGGTATGGGCCTGCCTTTAGCATTTATTACTCATAGCATTAATAATAATAATAATAGATTGGCGCTTACACATATGTTAGTGTTTGGCCGAGCTTCTCCTCCGATTTGTGGCGTGCGCCTTGATGTTGTCACACAAAGCGGAGGGACCTACAGTTTTACGCCGACTCCGAACGGCGATTGTATTTTTATGAGAAGCTGTTTTTCATGGCAGAAATACACTCGGAGGTTTGCCATTGCCTGCCGAGGGACGACCGCTGTTAAGAAAAAACCTTTTTTCTATATTTTGCGATGTTGCTTTGACCAGGGTTTGAACCCAGGCATTGTGGAGTGGAAGCGCGCACTGCTTACCACTACACCACAGCGGCCGACAGCATTGGGTGCATATAATTTAGTTACCAGGGCTCAGGTGGCATAATGCATAATCAAGTGAGAGATATTCTCTCGGGGAATGGAGCTGCGCATTGATTCATAGGATGCAGGCCCTTCATCGAGCAGCATTGAGCTCTGTTATGATAAGATCACCAAATCTCCCCATTGGACTTATTTTCAATATTTCAGTAGTGATCGAACCGGCCTTATCGATGTGCAAGGTCAGCAACGCTAGCTGCTGATATAAACACACCCCGCGAACTTTCGTTGCCTATACATTTCCGTATGCAACCTACTGCAATCTAGTGCAGCTGATCTTAAAAAGAATTTTAATTTAATTAAATTTTTTCTTTGTACAGTTTTTTGAGAAAATGTTATTGTTGCGTTTTTCGCGGTATAACTTCGCTAATACCTAAACGCACAAGTTCGAACGTTACCAATCAAAGCGTCAATTATCATACCACTTGCTTTGATCGGACGAAAACTTGCTGAGTTATAGCTGGTCAAAGTAAAAATTTTGTTGAATTTTTGCAATTTAAAAAAATTTAATTTTTTTCAAACCCGCTAGAGACCAAGAAAAGTTATTTTCAGCTTTGAAATTTTTAAATTTGACATTAATTTTGAAATTTTTTTACGTAGAACAAAATAAAAAGGTGCCTAATACAAAATTGAGTTGTTGATATTTTAAGGACCACCGGAATATGTATACATACGTTTATATGCAGATATGTACTTGCATTTTTAAATGTATAAATATATACGTACATATGTATCCATGTCAAAATTCAAGATATTTAAATTAGCCAAAATTACATATTTTTCCACAAAGATTTACGAATCGAATATTGCGCTACACCACCAAAAAAAAACTTGGTTAAGAAAATAATTATAATCACGCTCCTGAACGTAGTAAATTGATGGAAAAAAATACACGCCGTTTGCTAATAAAACAAAAGCCAGCAGCCGCGAACGTGCAGACCATTTACACGTCTCACGAACGATTTAGGCTTTAAATTAACCGAAAACATTTGCCCGGCAAGCTCACTTTTCTCAGTGCCCAAGAGCCAATGATACGGCAACAGCAACCTGTTGTACTAAATCATTAAATAATAGCGAGCTGAACGATGGATGGTGAACCATTAGACCGGCGCACAACAACACAAACAATAGCAACAACAACAATTGCAGATGCCTGCCAGTTGGGGGTAGCAGTAAAGAGAACAGCGCAACAACAAATCGCATCACTTTTGTTTTCTTGTAAGATTTTCAGTCACACAGATGCTAAGTTTTCATTTTACTTTTTGATTAACTGTTTGTTGTTTTTTTTTTTTGAAACTTCCCGATATTTGCGCCACTAATCGAAAATGAAAAACTTTGCTGGCAAGAAATAATGCCATGACATCACATAAACTAGTCGTAGCAAATGCCGCAGCTTTGTCGATTTGGCAGTTGGCGTCAACATTGCCGCCGACCATGACGGCGACGTAGAAGTCGTGGAAAATCGTGCATGCCACACAATTTATGTAACTTTTTGCACTTCAAACTTAATGATATTATCATCATCATCATCACCCCGTAAAAGAAAATGGTGTAATGCCAAATGACCCTAACAAAGCTACATAACAATGTGCCCTCCGAGTGGAAGAACGGATTTTGTTGCTATGGCGGCTGTTGTTGTTTTTGTTTCTTATACAGCTTTTCAACTGAAAGTCAAAACTGCATAGCGGTGCATAGAAGCGAAAAAGAAAAGGAAAGGCACAAACGAAAAAAAAGGGGCAACAAAGCGGCTGCTGTTGTTGTTGTTTTTTATGTAACGCACAGGCATTAGCGTATTTTAAAAAAGTTTAATAACAAAAAAATAAAAATATATCAATTTCTTACAAAAGTGCTTACAAATAAAATTTTTTCTAACTATTCTATTTTCACTTACAAAGCATTGTTTATCTGTTTCGAACTACTTTGTTGTTGTTGTTGTTGCGCTGTCAAAAAATTCAATAGCTTCCTCCCTAACGGCAATTGTATCGCATGCTCTATTGAATTGTGCTTTTGTTTGATATTCTGTTTTTTATTGTACAGACCGTAGCGCACAAACAACAAAGAAGTTAGTTTGTTACCCCAGCAGCCGCCGATGCACCAAGTGAAAAAAGGAGTCTCACTTTAACTTTTAAGTAAGAATCGTGACTAAGCTGACCCATTGAACCGCGTCGGCGCAATGCGTTTGTTTTTTCCTCACTTGACTGGCTTAACTTGTCCAACACGCTGACTGGGCAGCCACCAGCCGTTAGACTTATTTTTTTTTTTTTGGTGTTGGCTGGTGCCGTTTGCGTGCTGCTTCCTTAAAAGAAGATGTCGATGAGCGTTTTTGCTGTCTTTCTACTGCATTTGGTGCAATAAAAATCGATTGAATTTTAGCACGAAATCAAAAGTACAAACACGCCAGTGAAGTTAATGAAGGCAAATGTTTGCCAGTGGTGCGAAAGAGAAAAGGAACGCGATTGAAGTCAGCCCTTTGGGATGGCATGACAAAAATGAAAGCACAATCACTGATACCGCACCGTTGGCACTTGTGAAAGGGATTTCTACAAAGCGCAGATGAAATATGGTTATGCAATTTTTTAAAAAATTAACAGAAAATTGCAACGCTTTAGCACAAAGGAGTGCGTGATGGACGCGGAGGTGCAACTGCGAAAGGAGATTATCGTAAAGTAGTTGGTATTTAATTAAAATGCATGGATAAATTTCTATATATACGTACAAATATTTAATGGCTAGGAAAAGTGGAAAACTTATTTGCTTGAATATTTTTTTACTTACGGGTATTTGCCAACTTGCTAACTTTCCAACGCTAACATAAATTTCGTCTCCGTTCGTTTGGCGATTCTTCCGAACCGATTTCAAAAATTGAAAAAGTTGATGAGAAGAGTTTTTATGGTTTTAAAAATTGGTTTAAAATTGCGGCCAAAATTGTCGTCAAAAAATTATCCTATTGAATGATGTTTATTATTATCTCTCTCCTTGGAGCAGAGAAATAAATATTGAACTGCAGGTGGCAAATTAAAAATGAGCAGAAGAACCAACTTGTAAAATAGCCAGATACTTTTGGTCCAGGAAAAATTATGAAGGACCCAAGATCCTCCTTCCCTCAGGATGCTTTTGCCGAACGATAGTTGTGAAGACCATCACCGGTCAGCTGCTATTAAGGTTTTCATTAAAGGAATACCATACAAAATCAGCTTAAACAAATTCCTTTTTTTTTTTAAATAAAATAATTTATTCGTATATATGTATTAAGTTTTTACTGCCATTTATGTCTGATTTGTGCAAAAGTCTTAGCAACATGTTGCTGCGCGCTTCTATACAGCATGTCAACCTTCGCTCCTACTGCATTGGCATCACCAACAAATGCTCAATATATCTTGCAACACGAGTCAACTGTCAAGTTTTGCTGTCTTACCAAATGTATTGCGAGCGCGCTCTTTGTGCGCTTACACACATACCTATGTATGTAGAGATATGTACAAATATATGCCATACATGCTACACATACAGAACTTGCACCGAGCGTTTTAACTTTTATTTTTATTTTTTTAACTTTTATTTTTATTTTATATTTTTTCTGCTACAGGAATCCGAGCGTATTGCTTGTTTATTGGCATCCGCTATTTGCTACTATTTTCGCCATTTTTTTTTTTTTCCGACAAGCGCAAATCTACAAAAGATTTGTTGCTTCTTTCAATGCTACCGTACGGCATTTGCTTCTGTTTATTTTGACATTCGCTGTTGTATAAGTTTTTATTTTCATTCTTGTTTGTGTTTCAACCTCTCCACTACGTATTTGCATGCAAATGACCGACTTAATGTGCGCTTGCTCGTGCGCTTTTTCATGCAATAATGTTATTATTATTTTTGTTGCAGTTACTGTTGTTGCCGAAACCGCCGTGTTCCTGGGATTTGCTTTATTTAAAATTGCTAGCGTCTGTCTATTGTCTTCACTGATTTGTTGCAAAAATAAATATTCCGAAAAATAAGTTCAACGAAGTATGTAGTTATTCTAAGCAGTGAGTGAGTCAACACAAGAATGGGTTTAGCGGCAGCGCTATACAGTGGCAACAGCAGTAACAGCCATAGCAGTTAGTTATGCGCATATAGCGGCAACTGCAACTGCACATAACGTCTAGGACAACTGGCGTCATCGTCGTCGCTTTCGTTGTTGAGTGGCGCATATGCAAAAAAAAAAAAACGCTCTAGCATTGTGTTGGACAATGGCGTGTAAGAATTTATTATATGGCCGTCCGTCCACCAGCGTCGCCAAATGCCCTAAAAGTATGAGTTTGTTATGGCAACAAAATTTGTGTATGTACATGCAGAATAAATGTGGAAAAAATCATTGCAATAATAAAAATATTAGAACAAGCATGCAACTTAATTCAATTCAATTCATTTTCGTTGGTTTAGTGGCATTTTGAACGCGCAATACGCAACAATTTCTGGGTCAACTGGGCTGCTGCACGATTTTGTGTTGAAATCTTAATCGTTGACGCAGCTGCATAAATTTCAGTAGGCAAGAGAGCGAATAATCATAAATACACGTGTACATATGTGTGTGTGTATGTATTGGTGTATGTGCTGGGGCAAAAGAATATGATTATTGCTTACTCGTTAACAATATGTATTTATTTTAAATATTCCGATTTTGTATAGTTTAATAAAAACAATTTGCTTATACGTCAATCAATTAATAATTCTTTGTTTTTCGTATACAACTCAAACGATTTGTCATTTAAGCAAATTGTTATTGTTTTTATATCAAAAAATAAAACTGCTAAGCCTTAAATATAATTTCTCTTTACATTAAAAATTATATTGTATGGACAAATGGCTTAATCACAATAAAAGAAGCGTACTTTTAGGTGCAAAAGCTGAAGAAGTAACACAGTAGCGATATAATTTTGTGCACAAAAAGTCAAAATATTTGCATATTTATCTCCTCCTAGCTTAAATATATGCGTATATTGCCTATGTTTTTAACCTGAAGATTATTATTATTTAATAGAAATGTGTTGTCACAAAATATAAGGCTTTGCTAGTTCAATATTATGCAAATATTTTCTTATGGCACACAAAAGACTTAAGCGAGCAACCTGTTTCTCCCATTAGCTTAAAAACGTGCAAAGCTTAAAACAGGTAATAATAATTTCTTTTGAGCGAAGAAATTTAACTCAAGTATTAATTATTATTTAAAATTTTTGTTGTTTAAACTCCAAAAATAAAAATCATTGTACTATAGTGTATAGTGAATATACAGTATAGTTAAAACTGTTTTACGACTCTCAAAACATGTTGATATTTTATAGATAAAATTAAAAAAAAAATCATGATTATTTTCCAACTTGAAAGTTAGTACTTACATAAAGCCAAAGAAGTACGACAGCAGTTTTGTATATTGCTGTTTTATTTTTCTTTTGTTTTTAATGGTCGGATGAAGCGATATTTCTCTAACCTGCTAAGGCAGCGCTATAACAGTGATATTGCTCTATAGTTTCAATTTCCTTTTTATTACAGCTGCTGTGACAGAAGTCAATGCTGGCGAGTTCCATCGCATCCTTACTGAAGTAGCGGCTTTTTTTTTTAGAGGAATGACTTAATTGCACCTTTTCTTGTCACACAGAACTCAGTGGACATATTGCACACCTATATCTAAAGAGAGCTAACTTAAACAAAAAAAATCTAGGACAATTTTCTTGCTAAATTCAAATTCAAATTCATTGACCAAAACAAGTATTCATTCTCAAGTCGATAGACAAAAATTTTTTTAATAAAGTTTAAATCCAAATTGATATCCAAGCTTTTTTCAAGTGGTGAACTCAGCTTATTTTGCATAAAAAAAATTTGCCCTTTTGTTTAAGGTACACTTGAAACCAACAATGGTTATTAATATGTATTGGATCTTCACTTGACCTCCAACCCAAATTTTGATTGGGAAAAGTTGAGGCTGAGGTAGCACAGAGGCATTTTCGTACGGAGTAGAGGAATTCTTCGGACCTGTCCTTACATATTATTCAACCGTTTCGCTTTTTTGTTGACTTCCCATGTAGTTTTATCTAAACTGTCTTAGTTCTTGAAGAAGTCGTCCCAAAAAATGCAAGACTTTTTATGTGAACTCGAATAGAAAGTTGTTGATGGATTATATTTTTTCCTTAGCGCTATAACTTCCAGAGAAAACGTGAATTTCTGAAGGTGAAATGTTCAGAAGTATTTCTAATCTGACTTAAGGCCGTTTTCTTAAGTAGCTTTTGAAATTTATCTGCCCTTTAAACATAAATTTTGTCCTAAACCAAATACTAAAAGCTACTTGAAGAAACGGCCCTTAGAGACTCAAGCGAATTGCTCCAATTGATTGAAGATATGATTATCCTTTTATCCTTTTGTAGACTGATTAGATAGAATTAATCCAGTTTTGTAGCGGTATGAAACAGAAATGCACTTAGCATGAGTTTCCATAACAGAGGAGAAAAAACCACAACCTGAGGGATGGCTCATGTAGCCGTTTTCCTTACATTACCGATTTCCACTGACACATTCTTCTTCTATTTCTCTTGGCCTTAGTGGAAATTGTCCATCGAATCCTTCGCCAGTTGGTCTATCGGCAGAAATTTTAGCTAGTTTTGATAAAGGAGAAAATTTTGAACCTTTACAAAGAAGAAACAAATCTGCTTTGAACACAATTAAGTCGCAACCATGATTTAACTATTTAAATTTTTTAAGATGATAAAATTTAGTAGCAATAACAACATTCCAGTATTCTCTTTGATTTTATCTAAGCCATAATTTTTTCCTCTAATGAAAAGACATATTAATTACACCATAAACCTATTTTACATTGATCAACATACCATTGCGAATGCGCGCCTTAGCACCTCGAACCAAATTTTAATTTGCGCTAATTTCTTGAATCTGTGTCAGAAATGTCAGGCAATGCATTAAACGCATAAACATTTTAATTAATATTGTGCAGCAAAAGATAATCAAATTAAATTCCCCAACACCTGAGTGGCAACGGAAATAACTAGCAGCCATAGCAGTGGCAATAGCAAGAGCGTTGCCGCATAATATATTTAGCGGCGGCTAAACTTACCACATAAATATGTGGCATGCCCGTATATACATACATATGTATGTGTGTAGCTATGTGCGCGCTTATGAAGAAAATGTAGCCATACAACTCCGCAGCCAATGAGCCAACTCGCCGCGGTGTTGTTGTTAAAGCAGCATGCAATCTTCATACATAGCTACAGCTTGGCACGCGTATATGCGACGATAAAAAATTTCCAAACATAAAGATAAGAATGAAAATTTATAACGAAGCGCGCATTGAAAATCAATTAAAATTAACAACAACAATATAAAAAATACAATAACAATAACTAAACTGCATGTAACTAAATGTAGGAGATACAATAAAAACAATTCAATGGCCATGGTAGAGGTGAATGAGTAGCATAAGGAAAGTGACAAAGAAAGATTGGAGCTAAGCAAAAAGGCGCACATGAAGAGCTCATAACTTGCAGCGCGTGGCATAAATGTACTTGGAAGTGCGTTTGTGTATGTGCAAGTAACTGTTTCTTCATGCGGATGCTGTTGTGGCACTGCTGTTGTGCTATCATTGTAGTATAGTATAGTTATCGCTGCACCAGCATATAAACATTCAACTATTTGATGTTAGCTGCCACAAGAGCCTCTGCGCTGCACCATTGCTGCGGCCGTTAATACATATCACCAGCGCTTAATATATGTATGCGGCAGCAATTGCGTGACGTACACATAGATACGTTCTGAATAAACAAATAAAAGTAGAGGAGAAAAACAAAACAGGTAGGCGATAATATATGACTTTAGAGCAAATGAGGACAAAGGCGAAAATGCGGCGAAGAAGTGCATACATATGTATGTGGCGTGGCAGAAATAAGTGTTGTTGCAACGCACAGCCAGCCACAGTGGCCTCAAAGGCATCAACAACACTGGTGACAATATCGCTGTTGCTGACATGGTGCATGCCACAGTTGGACGGCTGCTGCGGCCATTGATGACGCACCCGAGTTGAGCACGCGCATCTTGCAAGCGCATTCAATAGCTGCTGCTATCTTTCATGTCATGAGCAACAAGAAATTTAACACCTGAGCCGACTGCTTGACTGTTCCGGCAATGATCTGGCTGTCATTAACAGTATTAACAGTTTCAGCATCAGCAATGTTAATCGATGTGCCCATTAGCTGTGTTAATGCTGCAAAGGTTGCATCCATTTCGGTCCATTTCTGTGGTCTTCTGATGAACGACTTTTAAAGCATTGAATTTGAGGTGAAATATCTCTACATTTGGTACGGCAAAGATCTATTCTATTACAAGATTTTTGCGGTTTTCGGAATTTGGCCGAATTGTTGTGGTTCTATCTTTAAAACTCTATCATTTTTTTATATTTTTTTATTTAAAATAAACTTTCTCAAGACTTCTCCAAACCCCTCGCATATTTTTTTTTTTGATTTGTTAAGAGTGCCTTTTTAGACTTTCAGGATTTCGTCCTGATTTTTTTCGAAAATTTTCATAATATTTTGTGCTTAACGGGTGTGTTTCTGGCTCTTAAACACCCTTTCGAGTTTTAGTTTGAGATTTTTTTTTTTCGGAGATACTGAGATGTTGCCATTTAAGACTTTTCAGAGTTATTTGATATTTTCTAAGATTTTTCAGTTTTTTTGTGTGTGGTTTTCGAGTTTTTCATTTTCCAAAGAACTACGCTTCTTTTCGAGTCTTTTTTTGTATTTGTTAAACTTTAAATATTTACAGATGACTTGGGATTACGTTATGACTCTTAAACACTAACTATTATTGATTTAAAAAAAATTTGCCGATTTTTTGTGATTTTTTCAAGTTTCTTATATTTACAATATTCTTGGGTGTTTTTGAACTTAAAATTTTTCAGCCTTAAGAATTGTTCTAGGGTATTTGGGTTCCCTCTTAGTTTAAGTTTCGGATTTTTTTTCTTCAAATTTCGTGCATTTTTTGTGTTAACATAGTATTTCTGGAATTCTGCGCGACTCTATCGAGCACTTTTCCAGAACTTTGTAGGGATTTTTATTATTTTTCAGAATAAATAAAAAAAATTATGGTATCTTTCTGGTATTATCGCAATTAGTTCTTATTTTTTTAAATTTTTGTGGCTTGTTTTTGGATTTTAATTTCAGGAGTAATTTAGGAACTTCTTGAGTTTTTTCTCTATTAAAAAAAAATATATATATATTTATAAATGTTTGGGATTTTCGAAATATTTTTGAAATTCCACAACTCATTCCAGGATATTTTGAGACCAGCCCATCGTTCTAGGTAACTTCAAGTTTTGCCATAAATTTTCTTAAAACCTTTTGAAGGTTCTCGGTATCTTGTGTTTAGAATTTTTTGGTATCTTTTCGCCGATGTTTTCAAATTTGGTTTTGGAGTGTTTTGAGTTAATTTTTGTAGATTTCTGCAATTTTCATAACTTCTTTGGCATTAAAATTTATTCTTGCAGCTCTACAGCTCTTTATTGGGCGTTTTTGGGTATTTGTGAAGACTTTTTTTTTTGCGCGGTTAATAAGGACTGTTATAATCATTTCAAAATTGTATTGGGTTGTTTGTGCAGTTTTTAGAGCATTTTCTGGAATTTCATTGGAACTTTATATATTATGGAGAAAATTTCTTGTTTTTCGGAGATTTTTCAGAATTTAGAAAGTTCAGTATGTTTTGTTTGTATTTTTTTACAACTTTGCGGGGTTCCTCGAAATTTTTTGCAAATATTTTTTAGATATTTTTTTAAGCTTTTGGAAACTAATAGCAATTTTTCGGACTGTACGAGATTTTTTGGGGCTCCTGAAGATTTTTTAAGATTTGTTTAGGATTTTTTTCGGCATTTCGAAGAGGTTACATTTCTCAGGTTTTCGAAATAAAATTTTTTTTTGGGAACTTCACTGGATTTGCTGTTATACTACATTACCTTTGTCGTATTACAAATAAGACTAGTTAAATGGAAAGCCATATGAGCAAACGAATATTTAATAACGTTAACCAAATCGAAGTGCAACAAAGAATTTCCTTGATAAAAATCTATAATTATTAGCTTTAATATATTCTTGCTCTTTTAAATATTACGCATAAATTATTAAGTCATTTAAACCCCAACAAATTTTGATCTAATAACATCCATCATCTTCTTCTCTCTCTACTTTCAGTCCCCCGAATTTGACTATCGGCATGAGCTGATGGGTCGTTTGCACAAAATCGAGCCAGACGTTGAACTTGAAGTATTATCCGCCGCCGCGCCACACCACCACCACCATCACCATCACCTGCACCATCATCAGCATCATCATCAGCATTTGCATCAGCATCAACACCAGCATCAATTGTTTTCGCCGCAAAGCAATCATAGTGGCAGTAATACGCTCGATCATTGGCAGCAGCATCAACAGCAGTTGCATCACTCTGCCACCACCTCCGCCATCACCGCTGCCAATAGTAGCAACAGTGGTAGCGGTAGCAATCATGAACATGCAACTTATGTTCAACACTCATCGGCATCCACCTCGGTTGTGGTGTCGGCATCCACAACGGTTACAGCACTCTCGCAGTCAACATCCTCTGCCTCAGTTGGCGCTGGCGCTGTGCAACAAAATGCCGCGTCATCATCATCAACATCCGCCTCGGCTAGTGATAATCCCGCCGATACTTCAAACTCTCCGCATGCGAGTGCGAATGTGTCATATGCGGGTTGTGCGTCTGCGTACGACAGCAGTGCGGCAGTGGCGTATGAAATAGCCAGCGCCTATGGTGCGACGGCGTCGGCGACCGCAGTGTCGGTAGCCGATAAGGAATATTTATTTGGTAAGTTTACGATGAAGGCTTAATAGTTTGTTTTACTTTTCGTATAGCATAAATAACATATGCGTCCGATATGTAAAATCATGTAAAAATATGTTTTGGTTTTTAATTCTGAAAAAGAAAACCCGTTTGCTGTTGGTAGTTAACATATGCAGGTTTGCCAGAAAATTCAGAAATGCCAGAGAGAGAGAGGGCAATTTTGGCAACTGTCTTTCAACTCACCACAGTCTTTGGGAAGACAAAAGTCTTTCGCAAAAATAAATAAAAAAGTTTTTTTAAAAATCAAACGAAGTTTAAAAAAATTTTTTTTTGTTTTTATAACAATAAAGTCTAAAAACTAATTTAGAAAAAGAAAAAAATTAAATAAAAAATTAGAGTAGTTGACATTTAAAAACTAAATAAAATTAAAAACAAATATATTTTTATTTTTAAAACAAAATCTAAAAATTAAAAGAAAATTAAATTAAAAAAGGCTACAAATAAAATGAAATAAAAAATAGTAAAATATAAAAATTAAAATAAAAGGAAATTAGCACAAGAAATCAAATTTCAAAATTTAAAAAATGAGAGATAAATAAAATAAGATTCTAAAAATTAAATGAAATCAAAAATTTTTTTCTTTGTTAAACAATAAGTTGTAAGCATTAAAAAAATGGAACTTAGAAAAGAAAAAAAAGAAAATAAATAAGTCCTTTAAAATTAAATGAAATAAAAGAAACAGGTGTATTTTTGCTTTTGAAACAATCAAGTGCGCAAGTTAAAAGAAAATTAAATTAACAAAATAAAAAAATTTTATTAAAAACATAAGAGAGAAATAAAAAAATTCTAAAACTAAATGAAATTTAAAACATTTTTTGTATGTAACAAAATCCTAAAAATTAAAAGAAAATTAAACTGAAAAACAAAAAAGATAAAAAATAAGTTCTTAAAAATAAAGTAAAATAAAAGAAATATATTTTTCATTTTAAAACCATAAAATATAAAAATGAAAAGTAAATTAAATTAAAAAAGATAAAAAAAGTATACCTAAACATTTTTATAGAAACTTACCACCACATTTATCATCAACGAATTTATAAGTCCTTTGTCAAAGCGCATCTGTCACGCAAAGCGAAGCAAGCGTTTTTTTCTGGCGCCAGCTTTAGCCAAAAAATCAATTTTTTCGACTTCTAATAGTACGGAAAATTGCATCACAATGAACCGTGTTAAATCCTTTTCCGATCGGATAATACTTACGGCCAGAGCCTTAAAAAGTTTCGAAAAATCTCTCCAATTATTATTATTTTATACTTTTTTAAATGATCTTCTATGTAGAAAGATTTAGAGTGCGCAGTTTCAGCCAACTAAATTTTAGTATAACAAAAGGCAAGCTTTAAGGTGATAAATAATCGCGTTGCATTTTGGTAATGTTTTTGCTGACAGTGTCAGTGTGCGGGGCACAGTCAGTAAAAAAAAGATGGATTAAAAGAAAAATATTGCTTGAGAAAGATCCCTGAAGGCATTACAGTGTTTAGTGGGTGGCAAGAGTGTTCTTGGATGCCACATGGGAATGGGAAAATTATATTACCATGCCCGATTTTTTCATATTTGCGAAAACCGCGTTTTCGAGGCTTACATCAGACCCTGAATCGGGTCTCAAAGCTCTGCTTAATTTTACGTAATTCTAATGGTTTCTGAAGGCAGCTGCAATACACCCAAGTGTTACTTGAAAGACTAGGAAAACCAATACCGAAATTTCTTTTCGAATAGAGCCTTTCCTGTTTAGCTGTAGGCCTATCGGCTAGTCTTATCTCCCACATCTTTGAATCAGCTGCATTAGGAAGAGACAATGTTAGTGCTTTCCCTCAATAAATTACTTAGATTAATCAAAAAGTATTATTAATAAAAATTACTAAACATGAGTAGTTTTTACGTTCGATGACATGATCTTCAACTAAAATAAATGGATATCATGCTAAATATTTGCTTTTGAAAACATAATATGTGTTATGCTTATTTTTTTACTAATTTTTTGCAGCTTTAATATATTTTGTTGTCAACTACACCGCTGAAAGCTAAAGAGTGAAATCGTTAAAACAAATAGCAACAAAATTGATTTTTATTTACCGTTGTTTACCAGCATTAGCATTTTATTGTCAGCCCAGCTCAGCAAATACGCCACAAATAATTTATTCAGCTGTGAAATTTGAAACCAAATCTAAGCACGAAAACCTTCCACTCATTTTATCTGCCTTTTCTTTCTTAATATGTATAATTTGTTGTTGCTACTTGATCACAAAGTGTCAACGAGTCGACTTGACATGTCGCGACTCAAGCTCATAAGCTGTTTAAAGGGAGTTTAAATTTGATTTCCATAACTTGGTTGTTGTTATTGCCAATGCGTAGCTAATGTTGCTTCGTTTCTAAATTTTGCTTCGTAATCAATATTTACCTTGGCATAAGATTAACGAAAACTTCAGCAGCTGTGAATGATGGGTTTCTCTTTTTTATGAATTGCTCACTGTTCAAGCTTCATAGCCTTTAAAAGGTGTGAAAAATACTATGCGCCACAGTGGACATGAGACTAATACGCATTAGCTATTCATTTATTTAGTCGCTCATAAGTTTATAGCTTCGGTAGCTTTTAGCTTTTAAGCTTTTTGACTTCTACGCCATTTTTATGATCTTTAATTAAGTTCTTCTTCTCTCTTCTCCAGATACCAAAAACAAAGAGGCTCTTTGCAATCCCTACGCTGACCTCGATGATCCCTACCAACGGCCAGCGCTGTGGGAGGATATCGCCAGCTCAATACAAAATATCGATCCTGAGAATGCGCTCATGCTCGGCTCAAGCTCAAATTCAACGGTGGCCGGTGGCGTGACATCACACTTAGCGCTCATCGGCGGTGGCAGCGGCAACAGCAGCAGTGGCACTAGCAATGCCGGCAGCAGTGGCTTGGATGCGACCAACACACTGCTGCCCCAAGTGAAAATGGAGGCACTCGATGATACGTTGCTGGAAACATTGTCCACCCCATTGCTCAGTCCTATGGAGATCAAGACTGAGAAGCCAGCGCTACAGCAACACACACACCTGCACGCACAACAACAACCACAACAACACTATGCGCACTATCAACTGCCATCACAGCACCACCACCATGGGCAACAGCAGCAGCAGCAGCAGCATCTGCAACAACAACACCAGCAACACCTCTATCAACACCATCCCAGTTTAGGTGGAAATAGCGGCATTGCGGATGTTGCTCTCGCCAACGGTGATGATACTATAACGCTAATGCAATTGCATCAGCAACACCAGCAACATCATCATCAGCAGCAGCAGCAGCAACATATGGCCGCCTCCTTGCATAGCAGCAATAGCAATAGTCCTAATCAACCAAATCGTTGCAGTAGCACCGCAAGCAGTCACAATGCTGAGCTGAGTGGCAGCAGTAGTGGTGCAGGTGTTAGTGGCGCCTTAAATGGCAGTGATAATAATAATAGCAATAATATTTCCTATCAACAATATGCATCTCAACAACAACAACAACAACATCAACATTTAAGTAGCAACAATAATTATCTCAATGATGGCGGTGGTTGTGGTGGTAGCAGTGGTTCCTCCTCTGCGGCGAATGTGACAATCAGCACGTCCGTAACGTTGACCAACTTAACAGCGGCAACGTCGCTGGATGGCAATGCGGGCAATAATAATAATAATAACAATAACGCCACAATGAATAACAACTTGAATGCAGGCTACGGTTATAGTTGGCACAGCAATCAGGTGAGTGTGCAGCTCGCTTGAGTTAAAACATAGTTGCACATTTATTACGGTTACACTGTGCTACAAATTTTGGAAGAGAGGGCACTAATGACTAAAGCTGCCTATCCAAGTTTGGCAATGTTTAAATAGAAAATGTTGTCTTAACTTATACACGAGGGCCGCTCCATATATTTTGCACCCAAGCAGACTTATATTTACATTTTTTACATTTTTACATGGCCCAGGTGGCTTTACTAAGAGTGAAATTCCAACTTAGCGAAGTATTCAAGAGCTGCCCCGAAAAGTTACCGGGCCAATATCAGATCTAGTCTTATCTTTGTCTAATCTTTACTAAGTTTTTATAAAGCAGTTTTAAATAACTAGAAAGGTTAAGACATGGATTAGAAGAGGAGTAGAGACATGTGCTTCTGTTTAGTGGTAAGGGTGTTTTTTTTTTTGAGTTTTGAGTTATCTCGCTATTGCAGAGATAGATCCATTGATAGATTTCTATCCTGCATAGCACAGAAAACTTCTGCATATTCGCAAAAAAAGCCTCAAAATGCTCGACGACATCATCTGCACAAAGACGAAGAACCATTGTTAGCAACATATAAAAGTATTCGATGTGCGTTTACAAATTTTACTGCAGTAAACAGAAGCTATTAAGGACAAAGTCACAAATCAGTCTAGATACTGTACTCTGGAAAGCCACGAAATTAATTTAAATTTTTCCTTAACATGATTTTAATGGAACTTAGCGGTGATGGCTCTATCCCTAGGTAACAGGGACCGAAAATAACCGTTAAGTGCCAGCATTTTTGTTCTTAGAACATTGCAAAATTGTTATTTTTTTATTTCTTAAGATCAAGAATAATCTTTAATTTTGGGTTTTAACCGTCTTCAAAAAAGCAGAAGCTTATCAGTTCGTCGGAATATTTTATAATTTTTATTTTATTTTTTGTTTTAGGTATGTTACCGCATAACTTTGGACCCGTTTAACCGATTTCGATAATTCTTCGTCGTTTTCAGCGGAAAGGTGGTACCTCACAGGTGGCTCTATACTAATTTGGTTTAGATCCGATACTTGAATCGTGAAGAAATTAACGATAATTTTAAATTTTTATATGAGAATTGAAGTCGGATTTGTTTTTTTGCTTAAAAATTACTTGTTATTTTTTCGGTCAAATATAATTATTATTTGCAAAAATAATCGTTATTTTGCAGTTTTTTCAATAATTTTTACCCGTTATAATGAAGACTATATTTTTATAACGGATATTAATCTCTTGTGATCTAAAAAATTAAATTTGATAATAACGGTTTAAATATGATCGAAAAAATATAAATAAAATAAAATAAAAGTCATGAAATAATCGGAAAATTTCACCGGGAAAATAATAGTATAATTTTAACGGTAAAATTATGATTTTTATTATAAAAACCAAAACCGTTACCATCTCTGCTACCTACAGCCAATTTTATACATAAACAAGTAAGAAAGTCTAAGTTCGGGCAGAGCCGAACATTAAATACCCGGCGCAGGTACCGCTACATGGTAAGCCGGTGTGTATCAGTTTTGAGTAAATTAGCGTCCTTAAATTTCGAAATATTGAAGTTTCAAGCATGAAGAGTGGTCGTAATTTGAATCTGATTCCAATAATTTTCAACGTTTTGCTTATATGTGGCAAGCACAATAACCACACCGAGTTTGGTACAAATTGGTAGAACGGTTAACGAGATACATATATGTGATCATAAGTGGGCGGTGCTACGCCCATTTTCCAAAATTTTGTCTTAAACGTATTTCTTGGTTAAGAATTGTTGCAAGCATATATTTTGAGTAAATTAGCTATAATATTTACTGATTTATCGAGGATTTCGTATTTTTCTAAATTACCGTTATATGGGATGTGGGCGTGGTTGTTGTCCGATTTTGCCCATTTTCTATACCATCCGTCCTACGCACGAAAGAAGTGCACATACCAAGTTTCGTTAAGATATCTAAATTTTTACTCGAGTTATCGTGTGCACAGACGGACGGACGGACGGACGGACAGACAGTCACCGCTTAATCGATTTCTCTTTTCATTCTGATCATTTATGTATACATTTGTCTATATCTATCTCGATTCGTTTTGCCTGTTACAAACAACCGTTATGTGAACAAAGTTATAATACCCTTGTGCACAAGTGCGCTCGGGTATAAAAAGGGTTTTATTATTCCAGTAGTGCATTGAAATTTCATTTTACCCTAAAAAATCTTTTTGTAGCATATTTTCAAACGGAGTCCTAGGACAAAATATACCTATGAACAATTTAAATACAAACTGCGTGCAAATCTATACTCACACAAAATGAACCTTGAAAATCTCTCCAACAGGGTTAAATATCTTAAACGAAAATGATTTGTATATAAATACCTTAGAAATGCTCATAGGTTTCTATTATAGATTACAGAGTTTAGGTTCCCGCCCAAGCCTTAAAAAAGTTGCTTCCTGACAGCTGATGTATAGCGCTGAGTACTGGGGTAAATCCGAGGTATTTACAATAGGTCTGGCATAGCCCCATTAACCAGCGTTGTATCAGGCACTCTACATTAATACAAAAGAATTTTACAATTTGTATACCAGTGTAACAATTATCCGCTATTGAATTAATCAATGGCATTTAAATAATAATAAAATGTAGCTCAGCACCGACTGAATGCAATTAGTGCAGTTATAATTACCGCCTACGTGTTTTTCTTACTTTTTTGTTTTCTCCATTTTTTTCCCGGCAGCCGTATCACCACAAATACCAAATACCGCCACCACCTCTAACAAACTCAACGCTGCACCAGCAGCAGCAACAACAACACCAGCCATCACAATCAAATCCGCAACTTTGCCCACCTGCAGCACCAACCGGCAATTCAATGTCAACGCGACACATATTCGTACCGCCATTGACGCCGCCCAGCTCAGATCCCGGAAGTCCGGGTAGTTCAATGGTTGCCGCGGCAGCGGCTGCAGCAGCAGCGGCGGCGGCGGCGGCAGCTGCGGCGAATAATGGCAGCAGCAATGCCCAACAACAGTCAGCGAATCGACGCACTACACCACCGCCACCTTATCAACAGCAGCAACAACAACTGCTGCAACAGCAACAGCAACAACAACAGCACCAACATCAGCATCAGCATCAACATCAACATCACCAACAGGGTCGTCCACTTTCAAGTATTTGCCCCAACATTTTAACACTGCACTCGAGCACGAATGGCACGACAACAATGACGCCACTACACCCCTCCGTACACCATTTAAGTCCAGGACGTACGCTCACCACGCTCGGCTCTAATGGTTGCGGTATTGGCGTTGGCATCGATATCGGCAGCGGACTGCATGGCGTTAACAGCAATGGTATCGGCGGCGGCGGCGGCGGCGGCGGCAGTGGTAGTGGCCTAATGGGTAACAGTCGGGGGCGAGGGCGTGGTAACGGTGCTAGCACACCGGCACACCTGGCAAATTTGATTGTGCCAACGATACGCACGGTGCGCTATAATCGGCGTAACAACCCGGAGTTGGAGAAGCGGCGCATACATCATTGCGATTTTGAGGGTGAGTTATGATTTATTTTATTTATTTTTTTATTCATTTATTTAGCGATACTGCCATTATTCATAATTGCTAATAAACAATTGCTTTATGGCATATGGAGAACAATTTGAAAATATGTGTTGAATAGTGCAAAATTAGGGCTATCAAAACTCTGAGTTCCCGGGAAAGATTTGAAAATTCCGACTAACTATAATTTTTCCATTCTTACTTAATACTCGTATTTGGTTGTACTTTTGCTAGTTAGGTAAGTAATGGTAAAATTTCGATGGAAGTTTTATTTCGTAATAATGTTGGGACCGCCTAACATTAAAGAACCCATACAAAATTATTGGGTGGATGCTTACATGCGCCCACTCGACCAAGACGAAATAAGAACATACTTCAATATTTCGGTCATTGATACCCACCACACATTAATTATGTATTCCAAGCCGCAAACGGCTGAAGGAGAAAGCCGTCTTGTCTGGGATCAGTGCGTTTCCAGGAATATCTTTCATTAAATACTAGCAGTAGTATAGCTTTATTAAAAAGGCTAATGGAATATGCCCATTACAGAGCCCACATGTAGCATAGAATACCTGGCTACTCTTCCGACTAGAGCAAGTACTGCTTCGGCGTGAAATGAGTGTTATTACGAGGCCACTGCATGAAAGGGACTTATGCCGTCAGTAAGTGGATGTAGTCGAATGACTTGTCGCGTACCAACCACTGAAGGAAGTTGCGACTACGACGCTGTACCTCAATGTGGGAGAGGGACATTTGTAAAAATTTGGTAAAAACTACATCCCAATAGCACAGATGCTTTTTTAGACGAGCGAGTTTTTCAAACTGATGTTGTAAAGCCTAATATTGAATGCTCATTTTAATCTATTACCAATTCTTGAAGCAAAAGTGCACTGCTGCTAACATTTTCAAATTAAATTTTAACGTCGTCAGTGTCAACACGAGGGCAGTTAGTGCAGAGATTATTGTAGCAATGTACCTCCTTGCGACACATACAGTGACGAACAAAAGTATTGTCACAGTGAATTTTTCGCAATACATTCAATGTTTCTTATTATACTTTTCGTTAATTTTTTATAAAAATATAGTTCATTTTATACCAAAAATCATAAACATAAATGCAAATTTATTGGATTTTATTTTTATATTTTTTGATGTAGAATGACTATATTTTTAGAATAAATTATCGAAACTACCTTACATTTATTGCGAAAGCTTCACTATGCCAATACCTTTGTTAGTCACTTTACACATAGTCATATGAAAAATGATAGAGACACGACATCTGGACCAGTTTTGGCCATTCTTCTTTTAATTGTTTAATTTTAACTATGTTTTTTTATAAAATTACAATTCATTACCTAAAAAACTCCATATAAGTCCAAATTTGAAACTTTAGATAAAAATTAAAAAACTCAACAATACTTTAGAACAACCAAAAACTTGTTATTAAGAATCTACAGAAAAGTCTAGGTATGCAGTTGTATAGCCCATTTAATTCTAGCCTAAGAAAGTGCAAGCTTGAAGTGGCTAAGCAATCGCGTTGCGTTTTGATAATTTTTATTCCCGACGGTGTCACGCATTTTCTTGTATACAAAGTATGTTCAAACAATTTTTTTGTATGGAAGAAAATATTAACACCATCCGCAAAAAAAATATCACAAATCAAATTACATCTTATTACATTAAGCGAGCAATACTTGTATATCATCATTATATAAATAGGCAATCATGTTTCCTTTACACCCCTTTTACGGCTAAACTATACTTCTGAGGTATAAACAATTATATATCATTAGAAAGGTATTTTGATGCTGATGTGCAGGCAATTTTTAAAATTTCAAATCAGTTTAAAATAGAGCGAAAAAATCAATTCAAAAGTCACACCAATACCAATGCCATACATGTACATGGTTGGGGCGGAAATGTCTCCTAAATGTATGCTTTAATATTGATAGCGAATTAAAGAAACGTGCTAAGCAGCAGTTTAGGAATAAGATGTATGTATGTATGTACATGAATAGATTAGACTCAAACAAGGAAGAAGGTAAAGTTGAGTATGGAGAAGAAGAAAGTGATAAATACAGAAATTAAAATAAAAGTAAAGAAACCTAGATATAAAGACAAAGAGGAAGGAAAATTTAAATACCTAACCTAATAACAATGGTGGGGGTGAATATGTAAATGAAGAAAAGAATGGACATATTTAGATCAGGATAAAGGAAAAGATAAAGATGAAGACCAAGACGACGAAGATGAAGATGAAGATGAAGATGAAGATGAAACACACCACAACTTAACCCCCACACCGTAATTCACCACACTTCAACTCGCTCACCACACCTTAACTCACCACACCTTAACTCACCACACCTCAACTCACCACACCTTAACTCCACACACCTAAATTCACCACACCTTAATTCACCACACCTCAACTCACCGCACGTTAACCCCCCACACCTAAATCCACCACACCGTAATTCACCACACCTCAACTTTCTCACCACACCTTAACTCACCACACCTCAACTCACCACATCTTAACTCCCCACACCTAAATTCACCACACCTAAACTCACCGCACCTCTTAAGCCCACCACACCTGAATTCACAGCGCCGTAACTCCCACACTCAATTCCACCACATCGCAAACCACCACACCCAATTTCCCCAAAATGACATGATATCACTTTATGTGGCATCAATGACATTGCTTTAATATTGATACTGAATTAAAGAAATCTGCTAAGCAGCAGTTTAGAAATCAGATTTACGAAGATTAAGATTCATGCAAGGAAGAAGGTAAAGTTGAATATGTAGAAGAAGAAAGGGATAAAGGCAAAGATTAGAATAAAAGTAAAGAAACCTAAATACAAACGAAGGTGGATATGAAGATGAAGATGAAGATGAAGATGAAGATGAAGATGAAGATGAA